CAGTCGGCAAGATAGAGGACCCCCCCCCCCGGAGTAGATGATTCCGCGGAGCGTTTTTTGTCGCTTGACGAATCGAGCGTGACGAGCAAAGTGCGCACTTGACAATGGAGAGATGGAAGTCCAATTTTTCTCTCTGCATATCTTTGTAAGTGTTAAAATCTCACCCCCTCTTGAACCAACGACTATCATTCACGGACACCAAAAAATGAATTTAACCAATGCGTTTCTGTGTGGTTTCAAATTCGTAAAGTGTGTTCTTGGTTGCGGTCCAGCTAGCGGATGAGGACTGGCTGACGCCTAGCCTCCTAGTGTGATGGTAAGCAAGCGCGAAGACAGGATCATAGGCCCAACGGCGCTGACCACCACGACGACGACGACGACAGCATCAACACCACCAACAATCGAATCACCAACTGGTTCGCCAACGACCGAACCGATCGCCAACAATACGACTCCCACGACCACGATCGTCAAACCCACGACCGCGAGTAGCGCGACAGTCACGATGACGATCGAGCAGCGACCAAGACGCCCGAGGAGCATCAGCGCGGAACCAAAGATCACCGCTAACCAAGGACGCGTCGAGCCCGTGCCGCTGCCCGCCTGACGTGACCTCCTCCTCCTCCACCCCCTGCTTCGTGACAATGCACACAAGGACGTGTGCACATAGGAGACCCACGTTAATGCGCGTGGGGGGTGGCGTTGCGTTGTCTTTCTCGCGGGATGGACGAGCGAGTGTTGTTGCAATAGCTGACGCGTGTGAGTTATACGTGACACTTGAAGGTATATATTAGAGTTGCTTTCGATGACCGAAGGAGTGAACATGTAGAATAATTTACGCGTAAACACAAATATATAAATATGTGCATGGGTGTATTGGAATAAAAAATAAGAGGGATATTCTCACGGTTCAGGGGGTGGGAGGGGGTGCGCCGTTGTAGGGAAGTATAGCAAAGTACGTAGCTCCGAGCACACTATAAGATATAAGGTATTCACTGAATAAGAGAGAGAGAGAAAACATTTAAATGCAAAAAAAATTTTTAACAGCGCGCAACGAAGCATGACTTTGAGAGACGGAGTGATGAAATTTTAAAAAGGAACGTTAGCACAGCGTGAATGAAGAAACAGAAAGAAAAAAAAGAAAAAATAAACACATAGCGAAGACGCGATTCGTTATTTTTGTAGATTACAGTGGATAAGAGAGCGCGAAAGCGAGTGGGATGAAAAAAAAACGCTAAAAACGTAAAAAAAAAAAAAAAAACTAATGAAAGACAAAATATTATTTGTGATGTTGTTTCAAACGCCGTCGACGCTCTCTCGTCAAATTGTAAAAATAAATAAATAAATAAATAAATGAAATAAAATAATTCAATAGCATTAAATAGCGGTATACATTGCATTGATCCGAGGTGGTCGTGAAGTTAAAATAAAATCTGATTTTGGAAGACCGAAATAAAGAGCGTTGTAACGTCGTAGGTATAAATAAAAACGATAACAAATGCGGATGAAGGGAGAGACGATCTAATTAGGCGAGCGGGTATAGGTCGAAGGAAAAAACATACTGTTAGCAGAAAAGTAGATAGTTAGTTAGGTATTATTACGAATAAAGTAACAAATAAAAAAAAGAAAGAGAAAAATAAAAAAAAAAATAAACAGCGCGAACGGTTCTCTCGGGGGCCGAGCCAAAATTCGACGACAACAACGAAATCGGCCGCGGAAACGATCAATATTATATATTATTGTACAAATGTATGTGTGAAAAAAAGAAAAGGTAATTTTAGCTCTAACGATTATCTTGGAGTCGAGACTTTTTTTAGCTTTGGCCACTCAATGTTGTGGCAGAGTGGGAACAAAAGTAACTGGCTCATGTGCGATTGCTGTGATAAAAAAAAAAAAGAGAGATACACTTAGTCTCGTAAAAAAATTGAGCGATTGTTGAGAACAAAAAATACAAAGTAACAGAAAGAAAGAGGGATAGGAAAAAAAGCGAGCCGTAGGGTCATTTTTCACAGTTTTTGAATATTTCTATTTTTTATTTGAATTGTTCGCTCGTTTGTTGAACTACAAATCGTTTACTTCAACACGTGGAGTTTAGCTTCCATCGCCGACCATATTTGGAGTGGCCAAAGTTTTCCACCACTTTGGCTCGCTCTCGTGCTTCTCTGTAGATTCATCAAGAGCAAAGTTGAAAATTACGCGAGACGTGCTGTAAATTTGAAAAGAGAATAAAAAAAGTACATTTTCAATAATCAAGGAATCAATGTTTGTAAATAATGTCTCAGCTGAAAAATAAAAAATAAAAAGTTTTTATAAAAAATGATTTTTACTTACATTTAAAAAAAGAAAGAATAACGTTTAACGTACTATTCCTTTGTTTGAATTTTCAATTCCAGTGGTATTAATTTTACCTTTTTAATAGGTAAAGGTGAAGTTAATACCTTGCAAGTGATTTATACATATATATAATACATTGATTGCAGCTGCACCTTTATGAACGACCTCGAATCGCAGAGTTTAAAAGTGTAAAAAAAAATAACTCAAAGCCTAATCACCACTGTTTATCTTGCAAAGGATAACAATCAAAAATAGAAAAAGTAAAAGGAAATTTATGCCGGTTCTATTTCGATAGAAATAAGTTCAGAAAAAAGAAGAAAAAATATTATAATAACAAAGCAGCTGTAGTAACAATATACAATGTTGGCAAAAAAAAAACAAAACAATAAAAAATAAAATCAACAAATGATAAAGACAGCGATAGAGAGAGAAAAGCACACTACTTCTAGTCTTTGATAAACCATACAATTGCGAAAAGATTTCCCAATGTCCTGAAGCGTCTGAAAACGTTTTTAACTGGAAAAAAAATAAATAGATTTTTTATCAGAAGAAAAAAAATTATGCTGAAAATTAAAAAGAATTTGTTTGAGAAGTTACAAGTAGCCGAATACGATGTCTGCGTTTCGAATTTCGACTCGACCATGTGTGTATGACCAACATATTTACACATCGACGAAAGAATCGTTTGAATCTGAGATGGTAATTGACAAAAACATTATAGCACATATAAAAAGTGAAAAATATAGTCAAATATGCCGTGAGAAAAAAATGTGAGAACCTCGTGAAGCGAGGTTAAGTAAATAAACATAAGAAAAAAAAATAATAATAATAAAAAAAAAAAAAAAAATCGTAGATAGACACATAATTGCACACAGCGCACGAAAGTTAGCGATTAGACAAATACCAAACCAAAAAAAAATGCAAAGAAAAATATATCATGTATAACACAAGTCGTATATGTATGTATGCGTATGTACATACACACACACATATATATATTTATGTATGTGTGTGTACGCATTTGAATACACATTCTGAAAGAATATAATGATAGAGCCGAGTCGCGTGTCCCGTGCTGTCGTACACGTCCTGAAGTTTTTTTATAACTAGGATGTTTTGGAAATGTAGATTTATGAAAAATGTGAGAAAATTTTAAAGAATTATCATCTTTTACCTCAACGTCCCCGAAATTGAAAAATAAAATACCCAAAAAAATATTGTTAAACTAGAAAACGATTGTTTTTAAAAAATAGACTAATTGCATCTCATCTTAACAAAAGATACAAAAAAACGGGTGTGAACCAAAAATTCAATCCAGAGTATTTTTGGAATTTACTTTTGCTGGAAGAAATATCAATAAAAAGAGGAAGTGCAATTAGTAACCAAATTCAGATTCTGGTCGGGTTCATAATTTTTAAGAAATACTGGAATAAATAATGTTTTAACAAGAAATTATTGCTCTCTGTGTTTAATATTTATCATATACTGATACGGTTTTTTTTTTAACTTCAAAGTATTTTATGTAAATTTTGATAGCAATTCTTTAGATAGCTGAGAAAATTATAATGTAAACACTGTATTTATTGTAAAACTAAGAAATTTTGTATCCAGGATGGACGAGCGAGTGTTGTTGCAATAGCTGACGCGTGTGAGTTATACGTGACACTTGAAGAAACAAAAAAAAAGAAGAAACTCCAACAGTCGCAGGGGAGGATTGGCCCCTCTCCCCCTGGTATTAATCAATGACGAAAAATTCGTATTAATCTCTGTNCACTATAACCAATAACAATTAATGCTATCAGTACCAGTCAGCAATGTTACTATAAAATGCGTGCATAAGAATAATTTTGGTGATTAGCAATGTAATGAACATCATTGTTTGAAGATTTTTTTCCTTTTAATAATATTACATTTATTGAGTTAGTGACCAGTAATTTTAAGAACATTTTTTTTCATCGCAAGTTAACAGAACGGGTGAACAAGAGGTTTTTTCAATGAACCAATGTAAATAATGGTCGCGCGCGCACATACATGTATCTCCATACTATAAGCCTTAATAAAAATACAAGAATAGGTAACACGAGTCATGATAAAACGTAAAACAAAATGTTACGTATAAAATATATAAATATATATATAATACAAAAGCATAGTACACACAAATATTATCCATCACAAACAAGTGTGTAAAACTGATTAAACTGATCAATAGTTAATCAATACACATAATTGTATAATATATACCAGTATAAATATATACAAGCGAGTAGAGACGTGCTGTAAATTTGAAAAGAGAATAAAAAAAGTNAATAATTTCATACACTTTGAATTCTGATGCAATTATTTTTTAAAGCACCATCATGCAAACTCTTGAATATAATGAAACAAATATACGAATATATGAAAAATACGAAAAGGTGCATAGTAACTAGATATAGAAAATATAGTATAATAATGAAACATGTATCGAAAAGCCTTTCACGCTAAAAAATAAAAAATTTAAGTGGTGATCCTACAACTGAGCCATTACAAAATAAAAAATCATACCAATCCACTGCGTACAATCAAATCCTCTTTACGTAGTAAACGAGATAAATTTTTATTTCATTATTTTTACGGCATTTAAATAAAAATCTGGATGATTAAAAAAAATTGACGGTTGTACAGCCAGAATAAAAATTCTAACTACACAATAAATATTTTTAGAAGTGAAATACATCGATTTGATGAAAATCAAAGCAATCGTTAGGTAATAGTAGTACACATGGATAAAAAAAGAACGTAGATAATTTTACTTTTGGTATGATGTACAAGCCTCAAATAGCAGATAAAATTAGAAGAGCCTCGAGTGTTTTTGTAATGAACATTAGAAAAAAATTTTTTTAATCTGTACGAAAGATTGTCAAAAGTTGTCCCTGTTGATTTTTTTGAAAAAATAAAAGTGACACGTAATAAATAGAGGGAAAATTAACTCGCGATAAAGTCAGAGTAAAGCCCCCCAGTGCATCATCATAAGATTTATCGATTAAGCCTACGTTTAAGTGAGAACCATAATTTCTCCCTTTTTTCCCCAACCTTAATTTAAACCCAAGCATGAAGACAAACATGATGATTAAAAAATAAATAAAATAAGACACATTGAATGTGTTGATAGTCATGAAATGTATAATAAAGGTGAAAAACTGAAGTATAATTTTGAATGAATAAAAAAAGCTATGCATATAGACACTAGCACGATAACAGTATGTAGAGTTATGAGCCAATTATTATAAGACACGCACATTTGCATATTACCTTTCTCTCCTACATAAATGAATTGACAGATAGAGACGTGCAAATGAGAATAGAGATAGTAGCGTATTAAAGTGTTCATAAATAATAAAAAATTGACAACAAAAGTTGGATATTTTTAGGGATATTTTCTACTAAAAATTGTCTGAATCGTTATGTTGCAGTTGTCAATTTATTAGATATTCTATTTCTCTCACTTGTTTCAACTGTTAATTTAATTTTTCGATTAAATGGTAAAATAATATTACTTATTCCACCGTATAAATTTTTGTTCATGTCACAAGAAACCTTCCAGTAATTTAAAAGCTTTATGATATCATAATTATAGTAACAGTATTACTATAAAAAATATAACTTTTGATATTAAAATTTTCATTATCTGTTTTAAACTCAAAAAGTAAAATTGTTGGTTTTATTTGAATGTTATTAAAAACATAAATGTACAAAAATCAATAATTGTTATGAAAATTTTTTAATAATTATAAGACATACATATACATATGTGTATACGTGTATATAGATTTAACCTCAGTTATTGTATGAGTACTATAAGAATATTTGTTTACTGTTAAATTAATGTTTCAGGAATTGTATATAAGAAAGCTAACATTTGTTGGCAAAGTTTAAGTTGAAATTCTTATTGACTTATGATATCATTGCTTTAAAAAATTTACTGTAAATAAAAACATTTTGTAACATAAATTCAAACGAAGTAATATTATTTTATCACAAAACATTTTAATCAGGTAGTAAAATTTAATAAATTCTTAAACTATTAAAACAAGGATATCAATCATATTTCTATAATTGGGATAAAATACTTAAAAACAATAAATATAGTTTAAAATACAGTAAATCATCTGAATTTTCTTTTATGCAGACATAATTTCCATATTTTCTCTTATTACAAGTTATGATTTTTACTTTTGCAGGAATTCATGGATACGTGTGTAAAGTGAATTTTTTATTTTATCTACTATATTTTCATACAGTTACTGCTAAGTGTATATAAGTATTAAATTATTTATACATTATGCATTAAAAAAAATTTTTTCAGACCTTACAATTTTTTTAAAC